GGCTGGTGAGAGGACTCTGGCCCAGCCAGACGGGAGCACAGCCTTGGCCCGGGCGAAGACTCATCTTCCTTCATCCGTCAGTCGCTAGCTGAGCAGCCTGGGGCGAGTGACTCCACCTCTCTGAACCTTGGTGCCCTCACCGTAAGATGGGAACTGTCACAGGGGCCCTCGAGCATCTGACCTAACATGTAGTTGTGGGCACCAGTTAGGTTTGTTACTCTAAAGGAAACAGGAAGGTTCCTCACGTGTCCTGAGGGCCTCTAGATTTGATCTTTGAAGGATGGGGAGAAACTGAAGGTTTTATAGCACAGTTGCAATGGGGTCAGCCTGCTCTGCCCAAGGTGAGCACGGGGAACAGAGCTGAGCAGGACACCCAGCCAGACGTCTGCAGGTGACTAGAGTGGCCCAGCAGCCAATGCATGACTCTTTATTAAGTTTGGGAAACAAACCGAGAAGCTTTAGGCACATTTTAAAATTGCATCTAAGCAGATGTGATGGTGCACACCTGTAATCCCAACACCAGGAAACTGAGGCAGGAAGACCGCATGAGTTCAAGGTCAACCTGAACTGGGTAACAAGACCCTGTCTCAAAAAATTTAAAAAATTTAAAAATAACAAAACTATATCTAAACCAGGCACAGTTGTTCACACCTGCAGTCTCATCTGCTTCAACAGCTGAGGCAGGAGAATTCCTTGTCATAAGGGGTTTGAGATTAGCATGGGCACCACAGTAAGACCCCATGTCAAAAGGAAAACAAACACTGGGTCTAACAGCTATCAGATAGTACTACACTCGGCTTCCTGGAATCAGGGGCTCCAGCCTCCCAGACCCACAGAGGACGCGAGCGTTCCAAGACAGAGGCTGTGTGTGGACAGTGTCCCGTCCCTTGCCAGACCCCAAACCGATTTGGGGACAGAGAGGTGAGGGCTGCCCAGGGCACTAGCCAGTTGTTATCAGGTCCTGCGCAGCTGGGGCAGGGTCACTAGGCGGGGCTGCTCTTATCTTTGGAGGCACAGAGCTGCCAGCCCGAGCTCTGCGTCAGTGAAGGCCTGGAACGTGCCCAGGGCCCCTGGGCACTCCAGGCTGTGACCGTAGGCCCCTCCCACTCCTCTCTGAGGCTCAGGGTCCTATCTGTGCATCAGGGAGCCCAGAATCCGGGGGCCCTGAGGAGCCTTCTGACTGTCGCTCTCGTCTCTCCAGTCTGTATTCCTCTTCTAACACTAGCTTCTGACCTTTCCTTGGGAAACCAGCCTGGGCAGCCCTCTGTGTACGTGGTTGGGGTGGGGCGCGTGATCTAGAACTCGGATTGGATCGAGGATGATCACATGACCAGGGTAGCCAATGAGCGTTTGTCTTGGGATTTGGGTTTGAGAAACAGCCTGAGCTCGAGTTGGCTGGGCAGATGGAGCGGGCAGGGTGGGCGCTCCTGAGTCGACGCTGGAAAAAATGGGCCCGTGGGGATGGCATAAAGACAGGCAGAGCAGGTCAACAGTTTCTGAAACGAGTGAGGGTAAACACTTCTGCTTTTGAGGATCATGGACTTTGTTGCAACTCTAACTCTGCAGCTTGAAAGCAGCAATAATACATAAATGACCAGCATGGCTACGTACCAATAAAGTTTTATTAGATAATGTGTAAGAAACAACAGCTGTCCAGATTTGGACCATAGTTTGCCTCCCCCTCCCCTAAACATTGAGCAAAACAGTGACTCAAACCTCAGTTTGTGGTACTTGCTAGATCTGTGGTGTAAACTTTCCCGGTGGCCAATTTTAAGCTGCCAGCATGAGGTCACTGAACTTCAGTTGAGAAACACAGGCACCATGACACATCACACGGGTACAGTGGGTGTAAATAACCCTCGAAGGATGGGTAATACTAGAGGGAGGAAGATGATTAGGAAGAGATGCGACTTGAGCATTTATTATCAGTGTTTTACTCCCCCGACCCTTTTTTTGTCTTTTTGAGACAGGGTCTCTCTATGCAGTTCAGGCTGACATTGATCTCACTTCATAACCCAGACTGATCTCAACTCTCTATGATCCTCCTGCCTCAGTCTTCCAAGTGGTAGGGTTATAGGCATGTGCCAGCATACGCTGCTTTATTTCATTTTTTTGAGACAGACTCTTGCTATGTAATTTTGGCCAGTCTTGAACTCACCACATAGCCCAGGCTGGCCTTGAACTCCAGGTGACCCTCTTGCCTCAGCCTCTTGAGTGCTGGGATTAAGGGCATGCACCACCATTTCCAGTATCACTTAGTTTTACTCTTTTATTTAGTTGTGGGTTTTTTTTTTTTTTTTGGTTGCTTTTAAACTTTATTTTATTTTTTTTGTCTTTTTCATTTTTATCGGTACCAGGGATTGAACTCACGACTGCCTGCCTGCAAGGCAGGCGCTTATGCTGCTGAGCTAAATCCCCAGCCCCTGAAACTTTCTTTTTAAGCACTGTTTCAGGGCTGCTGTTGAAAAGCTGAGTCACAAGCTTTCTGTGGAACTCACATGTGCTCTCCGGAGCTGCCCCTCTGCTTTGGTGGCCTGAGGTTTAGGGGGTGGAGACAGCACGATGAGGACCATGCAGAGGAAAACAGGGCACATCAAAGGGCTTTTCTTTCCTCTCTGACCACAAGTGCGTCAGAGGCAGCACCGCTTGTGTAAGTCCAGGGTGAAGTTACCTAAGCCACTGCCCTCTGCCAGGTGCAACCTGTGTCCTGCTGGGCAGAGTCCCCAAGCTTGTGAATATCTCCCACCTCTCAGTTTGGAGTGCAACATTCGTGCTTGGCCAGGACCACTCGGCTGTTTGCTTTTGTCTCTGATTTGCTGAGCTACTTGCGGTTTACTACTTAACTCTCCTCTGCTGACCCCTGCGGAGAATGAGTCTGTCATTGATGGGGTGGGGATGCTATGTGTCCAGTGCTTTGCTTTCAACCTAACAACCTCTGAGCTTGACCTCACTATTCCCATTTTACAGTTGAGGAAACTGAGGCTCAATGAAGCCTAGAAGCGCACACCAATAGGTTTCATTGGCATTTATTTCTTCTTCTCCATCTTCTCCTTCTTTTCTTCCTTTTCCTCCTCCTTCTTCCTTTGAGACAAGATCTTGTTGTATAGTCTAGACTGGCCTTGAACTCACTGTGTAGCCCAGGATAGGCATGGAAGCAGCATTCACTGTATTTTTTTTTTAATCACACTCCATAGAAACACTCATACAAAAAGAGGAAAAGTAACAAGAATAATGGGATGGACTTAGGCAGGAAGATTGCTGACAGTTTGAGACCACCCTGAGCTACACAGTGAGTTGAGGCCAGCCTGAACTACATATCCAGAGCCTGTCTCAAAACAGAACAAAACAAAACACGACCAGCCAGGCAAGGTGGCACACACCTGCAATCCCAGCACTTGGGAGGCTGAGATGGGAGGATCAATCTGAGTTCCAGACCAGCCTGGGCTACACAGTGAGCTCAAGGCCAACCTGAACTGCATAGTGAAACCCTGTCTCAGAAAAACAAAATCAAAACCAAAAACAAGACAAAACAAAATTTCAAAAACAAACACACACACACACACACACACACAAATGATGGGGTGCTGGGCATGGTGTTTCAGACCCATAATCCCAGCACTCAGAAGGCAGAGGATCACCAGGGTTTGAGGCCAGTGTAGGCTACACACCAAGACCCTGTCTCAAGACACAAAAAATAAAAGAAAGAAAGCAGCAAAAAAGACGGAATAATTATTCAGATTCAAATTCAAGGGGAGTTTTGAGGACCCAAATGGCATTGTGTCACATAAACATGCACCGGTGTGTGTGGTGAACTGTTCGCAAGTTGCATAAGTGATACTGTATCTCCAAATGCTGTGGCAGCTTTTCCTTGCATAATGAGATTCTCCTACGTAACTGCAGTAACACAGCCTTACGGAGGATACTTAACATCTGTATTCTGTAATTTAACATAAAGTCCACATTCAACTGGCCACACCCGAGACTGCATCCAATTGCTCTACCACTGAACCACACCCCAACCCTTCTCATTTTTTATATCAAGACAGGGTCTCAATACACTGCTCAGGGTGACTTTAGACTGGCAGTTCTCTCATGGCCTCCTGGCTGGCTCAGATGACAGGCGTGCTGTCCCATTCCTGGCCTGATAGCTTTGGTTTTCTTGGTCTTTTTGAGACAGTCTAGCTATGCAGTTCAGGCTCTCCTTGAGCTGACTTTGTAGCCTGGGCTGGTCTCGAATTCACAGGGATCTTCCTGTCTCAGCCTCCTGAGCGCTTTCACTAAAATTTAAATCCACCATCCAGTATCCAGCCAAGCAGTGTGTATTGCATTCATTCTCCCTGTCTTTTTTCAGTATTAAGGATGGAACCCAGGATCTTCGCTTTGAGCTACACCCTCAATCCTTTTGTTTTGTTTTAAATTTTCATTTTGAGACAGGACTCTTGCTAAATCACTAAATTTCCCAGGCTGGGCGCCAACTCGCATGCCTCCTGCCTCAATATCCCAGAATGCTGGGATTACAGACAGACGCCACCACACCCGGCTCCTTTTGTAGCTTTTCTGAGGTGAAAAAAGAGAAAAATAGGATCTCATCGGGGAATATAGATTGCATCTAGTTACTGCATCTCTTTTCTTTTCTTTCTTTTCTCTTTGGATATCACGGAGTGAACCAAGAGATCCCTGTGACCCCGCCCACCACCACTGCCCCGCCCCTCGTTTACCTCGGCGCGCACAGTTGGCTGAGGTGTTTTGGCCCACAGTGGGAGCCGTAGTTACAGTCTCCTCCGGCGTCCGTGGCCTGGTATCCCAGTGGCCGAGCTTCTAGGCTGGTGTTCACGATGTCTGATGAGGAAACCCGGCAGAGCGGAGGCTCCTCGGAGGCCCGCGCGGCGGCTGTCAGCGACATCCAGGAGCTGATGCGGCGCAAGGAAGAGATCGAGGCGCAGATCAAGGCCAACTATGACGTCCTGGAGGGCGTGAGTGTGGTCGGGCTGGGAGCCCGGCCTGAGCTTCCTGCCCGCGCGGCCCTGGGCGCCGCAGTTGCGGCCGCTGTTGGCCCCAGGCGGCACTCGCGTAGACGCTGGCCCGGGGTGCGGTGCCTTTCTGGTGTTTTAGGTTGCCAGGCATTAGTGCGTTTTGGGTTTTGTTTTTTATTTTGAGCCAGGGTCTCGCACCATAGTTCATGCTGGCCTTGAGGTCAGTGTAGCCCAGGCTGGCTTCGAACTCATGGCGATCCTCCCGCCTGGTGTCCCCCCCCCCCCGAGTGCTGGGCTTACAGGAGTGCACCACCGCGCCCGACTGGAGTTTCTTCAACTCAAATATTAATATTTTTTAAAAGAGTCACTTGGGGTCGGGTGTGGTGGCACGTGCTCGTAATCCCAACACTGTGGAGACAGGAGAATCACCGCAAGTTCGAGGCCAGCCTGGGCTACAAAATGAACTCGAGTCGCTTGAGGATCATGTTAAAATGCAAATTCCAGGTGGGGCCAGGGACTGCATTTTTTTTTTTTTTTTTTTTTTTGGTCTTTTTCGTTTTTATCGGTACCAGGGATCAAACTCACAACTGCCTGCTTGCAAGGCAGGAACTTATGCCACTGAGCTAAATCCCCAACTCCCAGGGACTGCATTTCTATCAACTCCTAGCCATGCTGAGGCTGGGCCGGATTTCCACACAGGTAAGGCTCACTGTCCTTAAAAGAAGGAAACTGAGGCACAGATTGGGGCCAGTGCCCAGTTGGGCAGCAAAAGACCTGGTGCCCAAGCCTATCCCAAGACAAAGGGGATAGTGTTTGTTTTGTTTTAATGCTACTTCATATAAAAGCACAGACCAACATGCAAGCAAGGGTAAGTTAATTCCACTCAGACCTGCTGGCCCGAGATGCACTTAGGGGATGGCATCGAGCTGTCATGTCGCAGAGAGGCCCGGGTGTCATTTTCTGCCTGCTGCCTGTGTGGCAGAAAGGTGCTGCCTTGTGTGTGACGTCGTGCAGTCCTCACAGTTACCCTTGAAGTTCGTGATCACAAAGGGAAAGTCGCTTAGTCACAGGTAGGAGCTCAACTTCCGGTCTGTTAAATCCAGAATCTGTTTTGAACAAGTTGCCAGCTATTTCTAAAACAAGTTATTTTACCACTACTAGCAGAGCCATACCCTTCTTGTGGATTATTCCTTCCATACTGGTGCACTTGTTTGCTTACATAATTTGGTTTTAAAAGGAAAATTACCCGCTGCCTTAGTCTCATGAAAAATGAGAATCTGAACTCATAAGTCTAAGGTTAAAATGTATATTAATGGCTGGGGGTTTAGCTCAGAGGCACAAGTGCTAGGGTTTTTTTTTTTTTGTCTTTTTCCTTTTTATCCAGGGATCGAACTCACGACTGCCTGCTTGCAAGGCAGGCACTTATGCGCTGAGCTAAACCTCCAGCCCCCCAAAAATAGGTTTAAAACAAGATTTTTGGGGCTGGGGATTTAGCTCAGCAGCATAAGTACCTGCCTTGCAAGCAGGCAGTCGTGAGTTCGATCCCTGGTACCGATAAAAAGAAAAAAAAAAAAGATTTTTGTTTTTTTAAAAAGGTTAAGCCAGATGTGGTGCACACCTCTAACCTCAGCAGTAGGGAGGTTGAGGCAGGAAGATTGCAGTGAGTTTTGAGGCCAGCCTGGACTGCATAGTGAGACCCTGTCTCAAACAAAAATCATGAATAAGGCAAAGGATTTGAATAAATATTTTTTCAACGAAAATGTGGACAGTACAAATGGCCCGCAAACACATGAAGTAATACTGATTATTGAGGAAATACAGACCAAAACCACAGCGAGGTACTACTTCATAGGCTCTAATAAAAACTAGGGAGGCCGGGGAGCAGCCGGGGCCTTTGTGCGTTGGTCTTGGGAACGTAAAATGCTCTCCTGTGAGTCCTGCTAGCCGGCTCTGGAGGTAGCTGTGCCATCAGGGTGTCCTTCCGGCTGGGGAGCTGCCCAGCCATAGCCAAGTGCTCAAAGGTTTTCAGTGCCTCAGGTCCAAGGCCACAGCTGCTCAGTTTGAGGGGCCCAAGGCAACGAGAGGCAGTGCCTGCGGGGCCTTGGATGTCAGATGTGTTGTCCTACCTTTTGAAAAGAAGCCTGCGTTCTTGCCTTGCTGTGTTATTAGAAATGAACCTCAAATAGTGCCCACCTCCGTGCTGAGCTCCGAGGACGTGAGTGGAGCCCCTGGTGTGTGCTGAGGAGTTTGTGTTGTTGTCACCTTTATTTTATTTTTTTCAGTACTGAGGATTGAACCCAGGGCTTTTACACTGGGCTACATCTCCAGCCCTTTTTTAATTTTTATTCTGACACAGGGGCTTGCTGAGTTGCTAGGTTGCCCAGGCTGGGCTCAAATTGGAGTCCTCCTGCCTCAGCCACCCAGAGTGCTGGGGGCACAGGTGTGTGGCACTGTGTCCAGCTGCTGTCACCTTTATTATGGCTTGATGGGGGAATGGTGTCTTGAGGACGTCCTGCCTGTGTCATCTGTCCACCCTTGTGTCTTCCCTGCAGCAAAAAGGCATTGGGATGGACGAGCCGCTGGTGGACTGCGAGGGCTACCCACGCGCGGATGTGGACCTGTACCAAGTGCGGGCGGCCAGGCACAACATCATCTGTGAGTGGCCCCGGGTGCATGCCCTGTGGGCTGCTGATGACCAGGCACAGACTGCCCGTGTTGGCATCCTCTGTCATCTCTCTTGTGCCTCCACTCAGTCGTCTCACTGCCCCCATCAAGGGAGCAGAACAGGGCGGGTTAGACTCTGGGGCTGTTCCTGGCTTTTGTCTTCAGGGCTGAAGCTATTATCCTAGCACTCAGGAGGCTGAGGCAGGAGGATCTCAGCAAGTGTGAGGCCAGCCTTGGCTACACAGTGAGTTCAAGGCCAGCCTGCTGGGTGTTCATTTGTTTTGAACTAAGGAACTAGCAGGAAATAGAGATTGGGAAGAAGACTTGTTCTCTATGACAAACGGCCACAAGACTTTCTGGCTTAGAACACTCCTCTCCTCTCCTCTCCTCTCCTCTTCCCTCCTCTTCCCTCCCCTCCCTTCCCCTCCCTTCCCCTCCCCTCTCCTCTCCTCTCTTCCTCTCCTCTTTCTTTCCCTCTTTCCCTCTTTCCCTCCCCACTTCCTCGCTCCCCCCTGTCCCCCTGTCTCCCTTCCTTCCTCCTTTTTTTGGGAGACACAGTCTCACTAAGTTGCCAATTTGCCCAGGCTGGGCTCTGAGTTACAGACTTCTCGCCTCAGCCTCAGACCACACAGAGTAGCCCCTCGCTGTCGTGGTGGTGTCAGCCGGGCTGGCTCCTCCTGGAGGCCCTGGGACCTGTCTCCTCGCCTCTTCTGCCTCTAGGCCCCATGCTGCTGAGCTGGCCGCTTCTGCCTTCACCCCAGGGTCCGCATTGCTGCAGCCTGTGCCTGTTGTCTTCCCCCACCCGCCTGTTTTCTTTCCCAACAGGGGCTTGACCCAGGGGTGTCCATCACTGAGCTACATCTCCACCTCTGTTTATTTTTATTTATTGGGGGTTTTGAGACAGGGTCACAGGTTGCTTTTGAACTCATTTTGTAGCCCAGGCTGGCCTGGAACTTGGGAGATTCTCCTGCCCCAGCCTCCCGAGTGCTAGGATCACAGGTGTGTGCCACCATGCCCAGCCATTTATTGATTTTTTTGGGGGTAGGCTCTCAATATATAGCCCAGACTTAGCTTGAAATTGCAGTCCTCCTGTCTCAGCCTCCCAGAGCACTGGTACCTGTACCTAGTGTTATTTTTAGAATAGTTTTAGATTTACAAAAAAATTGGGGGAAAAATTTATAATTCAGAGAGGCCCCAAGTACTTTGTACCAAGATACTCTGATGAACACTTATGTGAATGTGGTGCATTTTCTATAACTGCAAGCTTGTTTTTTAAAAGCTACTGCAGAGATATCTGCCAGGAAAAGAGTACCTTCCAAATGATACTTTTTTTTTTTTTTTACCTTTAAAGAGAATGAAACCAGAATAAAACAGAATAAAGCCAGTCAAAACAAAACAGTGAAAGTGATATAGGACTTCAAAACAGGATAATAGGATAATAGGAAATCAGCAATGGCTCCCATAATGCCTCTTGTTATTTTCAAAATCGCTCCTCATACAATCATACATGATAAAATCAGATCAGAATGAAACAATCAAAACAGAACATTGAATAAAACAGAACAAAACAAAACAGTATTGGATTTCAAAAAAAGAAATCCCCTATATTTGCTACAATGCATACTGTTACCCTCTTAATAAAAGCTTAGACTACTGGCGTTAGGCCTGCAGAATCAGTGAAACAGTACAAGCATTAAGTTGTTTTTGTACCTCAGTTGCTGTCAATTTGGTCTGTGATCTTCTGAATCAGAGGGTTGCTTGGAGGGGTGGGGGCTCAGTCTCCTTTTCTCCCAGCCCGCACACAGTCTGGCTCACGGGAAGGGTGAATTGTTCCTCCTCGCAGCCCACAGCGATGGCTGGCTCATGGGAAGGGTGCGTCTTGTTTGTCCTCCCCACCCACAGGAACCTTTTGGAATCTGATGAGGGCTGCTCCCCAGCAGCCTATCATGTGCAGACGATTGTCGGGCTTTGTCAGGGATCCTGGCCACCCTTGTGGATCTGCCTTTCCTTGGCAGAGCAACCATGCCTGGCCTCACCAGTGTCTGGCTGTCAAGCACTTCTGTGTGCTGGGGAGTACATGCAGGTGTCTGGGGTCCCCCACGGTCTCCTTGGGCCTGACGCAGCCCCACTCCCCGCAGGCCTGCAGAATGACCACAAGGCAGTGATGAAGCAGGTGGAGGAGGCCCTGCACCAGCTGCATGCCCGAGACAAGGAGAAGCAGGCCCGGGACCTGGCTGAGGCCCGCAGGGAGGCCCTGAGCCGCAGGTCTGGGCAGGGCGAGAGCCAGGGCCCCCCGCAGGCCTTCGCCAGGGTGAACAGCGTCAGTGCCGGCTCCCCGGCCAGCTTTGCGGTAATCGGCCTGGAGGTTCCATCACACCGAGGGAGGGCGCTGGGTGAGGCGGCCCTGGGGTTGGGTCCGTGCTGCAGCCCTTACTCCACCGCCAGATGCTGCCTGGGGCTGCTGCATATATGGGCCAGGCTTCAGTGGGTGCCAGCCTCTGCTGCCTACCAGCCTGGTGGGAGGGAGGTCTGTTCCCAGGGACAGCTGGGGCACAGATAGAAAGGGACAAGTGGCTGGGGGTTTAGCTCAGCGGCATAAGCACCTGTCTTGAAAGCAGGCAGTCGTGAGTTCGATCCCCAGTACCGATAAAAAGGAAAAAGACAAAAAAAAAAAAAAAGAAAGGAACAAGTGTCCCACAAGAAGCCAGACATGGTGGTACACTCCTGTAATCCCAGTATTGGGAAGGCTGAGGAAGGGGGATCCCTGTGAGTTCAAAGCCAGCCTGGGCTACATAGTGAGTTTGAGGCCATGCTGAACCGAATAGCAAGACCTCATCTTAAAAGAACTAACAAACTAAATAAGTAAATTAATAAAGTGGGTGCTGAAGGGCAGAGACTCCAGAGCCCCTGTAACCCACCGCGCACCTGATTCCGTGTCTCCCCCTCCCAGGGCCTGCAGGTGGACGATGAGATCGTGGAGTTTGGCTCTGTGAATGCCCAGAACTTCCAGTCGCTGCAGAATGTGGGCAGCGTGGTGCAGCACAGCCAGGGGGTGAGTGGTGCAGGCCGCGGGGGCTCCCAGCACCGGGGCTGCCCCGTCCCCAGGTCAGGGTCCCAGCAGGTTCAGGAGGCACCTACTGTTACCCCACTGGGTGCAGTGGCGCGGGGCCTCAGGGGTCTCAGGGGTGCCCTTGACCTCCAGAGGCCCCATGCTGTCTTTCCTTTTGTTTCCTTTTTTGCGGGGCCCACGATCAAACTGAGGAGTGTTCTACCACTGAGCTCCATCCCTAGCCCTAGGGTCTTGCCCTAGGGAGTTGCCTAGCCTGGCCTAGAATTTGGGGATTTTCCTGCCTCAGCCTCCTGAGTATCGACTGTGTGCTGCTGTGCCTGGCTTGAAGTCTACGCAAAGAGTTAGGATTTCAGCATGGGAATCTAAGCAGGGGGCACAGACCGTTGAGCCCACAGCCTCCACTGTGCTGTCCCCCAGCAGTCCCCGATTGAGACCTCTGCATTCCCCATTCCTCTGCCTAAAATGCTTTTCCTCGCTCACCCTGGTGTTTCTGGCTGTGCACTGATACAAACCTGCCACTGCTGTGTGTGACTGTGACACATACACATGTGTCTCTGGTAATTATAGTGCCCTAAGTGTGTGCACATTTGGCTGGGAGTGGTGGCACACACCTGTATTCCTAGCACTCGAGGCTGAGGCAGGAGATCCCTGAATTCAAGGCCAGCCTACTACATAGTGAGACCCTGTCTGAAAAAGCCAAAGAGAAAAAACAAAATAATTCTTGGCAAGCTTTTGGCTCCCAAATACAGTTTTCAGTTCAGCCAGCAATCCCGGGTTGGCTCCCAGTGTGCAAATGCAGGTGTGAGGGTCTCGGCCAGGTGGCCCCTGCTGCACCCCCAAAGGTTGGCCTCCTCTGTGCCTACACCTTCCGCTCTGAACTTGGTGGCTGGTTCAGCTCTAATTTTTTCACTTTTTACTTTCTGGCTTTTACCTTTAATGTGTACTTCAGTGCTTTTATTTCAGTTTTTTTAATGCATTACAATTATTTTTATAATAGCTTTATTGAGCTATTTCACATTTAGTACAATTCACCCATGTAAAATGCATAATTTAGTGCTTTTGTATTTTTTTTTTGGGTACTGTGAACTGAACTCATGACCTCATGGTTGGCAGGCAGGCACTTATGCTGCTGAGCTAAATTCCCAGCCACTTTTGTCTTTTTGAGACAGGATCTCAGTGTGGACTTCAAGCTGGCCTTGAGCTCACTGTGTAACCCAGGCTGGTCTCGAACTTACAGAGATCCTCCTGCCTCAGCCTCCCAAACGCTGGGATTGCATTTTTCCTTTTTAATAGAGTAATACTCTGTTGTATGAATGGGCTACACCAGCTGTCCAGCAGTTTGAGCTGCCCCCAGGTGTTTGCCATTAAATGCTGCTGTGAATGCAGGTGTACAGATCTCTCCTCCATTCTGTTCTTGTGTATATTCCTGGGGATTCAGGGGTTGAATCGGATGGTGGTGCCAGGTTTCCTGTTGCAGGCCGCTGACAGTGGCGCCCAGTGCTCCTCACAGTCCTGATTCACTTTCCTTTCAGAGGCCGCTGACAGTGACGGTGATCCGCAGAGGGGAGAGACAGCAGCTCCGCCTAGTCCCGACGCGCTGGGCGGGCAAAGGCCTGCTGGGGTAAGGGCTCCACCTCACCCTCCTTCACACGCAGGGTGCAGGGGCTCCTCAGATACCAACCCGGGGTCCCAGAGTGTGCAGACACCAGCGTTAGGTGCCTGTGCTCGGGCCGAAGCCGAGGTACAGGTGGAGGGAGCCCTGGTGGCTCCTGAGGCTCAGGTTCTTTCATCAGTGGCACTGGCTTTAAGAAAAAGGAGAAGCCGGGCTTGGAGATGCACATCTGTGATGCCAGCACTTGGGAGGCTGAGGCAGGAGGATTGCGGTGCGTTCAAGGCCAGCCTGGACTACAGAGAAAGGCCCCATCTCAGAAACAAGCATGAAAGGATGTAGGCCAGCGGCTGGGAGGGGCTCATGCGCCGTCCCCCAGCAGAGCCCGTCTCAGGCGCCCCCTCTTTCTCCCTGCAGCTGCAACATTGTTCCTCTGCAGAGATGACTGCCATGCCCTGGACCTAGGCCCTCGCGGGGAACCCCATTGTGTTTGCTCCCTGAAGTCTTAAGAGTCGTCTGGTGGCCAAAACCTGGCCCCTCCTGCTGCCATCGATGGGCAGAGGCATTTCTGGAAACAGTCTGTGCCCAGCCTCTGTGACCAATCAGGACCAGACGGAAATGAGAACTCCGGGGCCTCAGGGCAGGTGGGCGGGAGCTGTGTGTGCGGTGCTGATGAGACTTCTGGGGATTTCTTTTTCCCTGAATATGGCTGTGCAGGGTGGAGGTGACCACGGAGTCACCCTCGGCGAGTTTCTCCTGAGCATCTCTCACTCAGGAGAGGGTTAAGTGTGGGGCTGGAACATCCCCAATGCGCTGGACTCCGGCTCCGTGGCATCTCTCCTTGCTTTCGCTCCTGTGTGTACAGAGAGCACTGAGCACTTCAGGGCAGCCTCAGTGGCCAGAGCCCTCGGCCCTCTGGGGGGTAGCGTGGCCCCCACTGGAATGAAACCCACTCTGTGCTGCCAGCTTGACCCTCTAAACAACCCAGCTATGGCCCAAATCAGCGCCGGCACCGAGGTGTGCCTGCCACTGCTGATCGCAAGTGTTTACACATCCGCCTTCTTGACGATGCCACTTGCTTCCTTTTCTCTGTTGAGATGCTAACGGCCTTCCCTGGACTCCATGTCTGAGTCTCCTGCCCTCCCTCCATGGTCCAGTGTTTATAGTGTTTATTGGCCTTGGTTTCGCAGACCGCTTCCTCTTGTGGAGGCCTGGGGCAGTCTGCTGAGGACGCCTGTGCCTATGGTTTCCTGGGCTTGGCCTCAGTGTGGGCTTCTGGCCGAAGATGTCAGGCTCCACCGCAAAGCCTTCTGCCTGAGTGCGCTCCAGCCCCGCGGACTCTGCACACCACATCTTCCAGGGCTTCCTGTTCAGACCATGCCTGGCAGGGCAGGTATCTTCGTCTCCAGACCCCGAACTGTAATAAAGTTTGTGTCCACTTCCACCTCTCCCTGCCTCCCTTCATTCTGAGATGCTGCCGAGCTCCTGTCCCTGAGATTCCGGGTCCCCAGGGTGAGGCTGTGGACTGAGCCTGGCTGACTCTGCAGAGACCCCTGGGGCAAAAGCAGTAGGACCTTGCGGCTTGCCGCTTCCAGCTGGCTAAAATTCTCTGCCTTCACTGCCGCGTGAGCAGCTAGGACAGGTGTGTGTGGCATCTGTGGGACCAGGAATTGAACTGCATTTGGGCAGAGATTTTTTTGTTTTTGGAGCCGGGGACTCTCAGCCTCCTGCTCCAGGTGTGCACAACCGCACAGCAGCAGAGGGGATCGCAGCACGTGGCTCCCATTCTGGAAAGTCAGAATTGCCAGAGCTGGCCACCACAGCTTTTGGGGCGCCCAACGGGAGAGGGAAAGGGGAGGGGGTGTAGGGGAGGACAGGCCCAGATGGCGGCCGGCAGGGGGCGCGCGGCTCGGCTCGCGCTCGCGGACGCTTGCCCGGCAAGTGAGCTTGCGCTGCTCCTGCGCTTTACGGCACGACGCCCAAGGCGGCGGCGGTTGCTATGGGGACGAAGCTTGGGTGGCAACCGTAGCTAGGGAGTGCGTGGAGGCAGAGGTGGCTGCGCTGGGGGTCCTGGAGGATCTGGCTTGTTGAGGAACTAGGTGGGCGCACTCCGTAAGTGCAGGACCGAGGCCCCGGGGGCCCCGCCTGGCTCTGCGCCCTGCGACCCCCCAACCCGGTCCTTACCCTGCAGTCCTCCGGGGGCTGGTCCCCACCCGTTGTGGCCAGTCAGGGACACATGAAGCGTTAGCCGCACCCTTTCAGACGAGGAGCCAGGTGTCCCCAGCTCCGCCATCGTTGACAAGTCGCATCGTCTCTCAGGGTCCGAAACTCTGGATCGTTGTGTGGGAATCACCAAGCGCATGGCTTAGAGGGCTTTGGGACCTGACTGTTTATTTTTTTTTATTTATTTATTTTTTTTTCCTTCTCTTTTTGAGGCAGGGTCTCACTATACAGTTCAGGCTAGCTTTGGGCTCACTTTGTAGCGAAGGATGTTCTCCAACTTGCAATGATCCTCCTGCCTCAGCATCCCAAGATTATAGGAGTGTGTCACCACGCCCCATTTTGCAAAATCGGAGTTGCTTTCAGCTGTGTAGTGACTGCTCCCATATATTTTAAAGCTCTCCGTGCTAAGCTATGTTTAGCCTTTAACCCAAAAGGGAGGGCAGCTGTTTTACTTCCCCTGTGCAGAAATTCAGATGCCAAGGGGTACAGACACTTGCCTAAGGCTCAGAGCTAGTGAGTGGCAGAAGTGGGGTCCGTGCCAGGCTTCTCTTTCCCCGATCAGAGTTGCTGCTGGTGCCTGAGGATGTGTTCTGCTGCTTGTGGAAATATGAACATATTTAAAATTAAACAGGAGCCTCCGGGGCTTAATCCTAAGAAAGGAAGAGGCCATAGGGTCAATGTTTTTAAGACTGGCCAGGCTTAGGCTGAGGATATAGCTCAGCAGCACAGTGCCTGCCTGGTAAACACAAGGTCATGAGTTCAACTCCTGGTCTCAAAAAAAAATTATGTGAATTAGGATTGGCCAGGTTTTCTTGAGAGTATAGCGCCCTCTTCACCCCCAGCAGGGCAGGTGCAGCGCCCTCCTCAGAGGCTGGGGAATCAGAGTGGGAAGCGGACCTGCTGGTCACTGTGGGCTCATCTTCTCTAAAGGAAACTTCGTGGAAGAATGTCAGAGCCAGAAGAAAATCCCCTAGAGGAAAACAGAGAAAAGGAAATGGAAGAAAAAGAATACAGCCAAAATAATGAAGAAGTGGAAAAGATGCGACTGACATCAGATGACACATTAGGACCAAGAGAGTCCCAGGAGGGAGAGGGAGAGGGGGAGGCAGACGGAGGGGAAAAACTGGAGGAGGAGGATGAGGACGAGGAAAAGGATGAGGAGGAGGAGAAGGAAGATGAGAGTGAGGAGGAGGATGAGGAGGAGAAAGAGGCTGAGCGGGAGGAGGAAGAGGCCTACGAGGAGGGAGAGGTGCGGGAGGAGGAAGAGGAGGAGGAGAAGCAGGAGGAGACTGGAGCGGAGGCCCACAAAGCCCCGGCTGTCCCTATCATGGCGACCCCTCCCTGCAACCTGCTGGGCACCTTCCTGGTGAGTGGTGACTGTCGCTCAGGGCTGCTTTCACTCTGGGTGCTGAGCTAACACCAGGCCGGGGGCCCCATGGCCAAAACAGAGCTGCCCTGCAGGAGGCTGGACCATGGAGGGCCAGGGTCACAGGACACATCCCTGCACACTAAGCCTGGCGATCCAGGGTGGGGATGTTGCTTATTTATTCTTATTTATTTGTTTTGGTGCTACAATCCTGCCTCAGCCTGCTGGGATTATAGGGGGGCACCACCACGCCTGGTTTATGGGGGATTTGTTAGAAGGGAAAATGTAACCTGGGTTGAAGGGCAGTCAGGGCACTCTTCCTGGAGGAGGTGTGTGCCTAGCTGAACTTTAAAGGGTGGTGGACAGGAGCTCACTGAAGTGGGTGGTCCCAGAACAGAGTGAGTATGACAGTGACGGCATAGACTGTGTCCTGCTGAGCCCAGGGCAAGGACTCTGCCTGGCCCAGGAGCGGCTTTCTCAGCCCAGGGGCATGGTGGTGCATATCTGTCACCCTAGTACACAGGAAGCTGAGGCAAGAGGATTTATGCAAATTCCAGGCCAGCCTGGGCAACATAGTGGGACCCTGACTCAAAACACGAAACAGAACCAGAAGTTGTGACCAGCAGCTTTTTGGTCACCAGTGTCATTTGGAAGAATGGTTTTGCTGTTTTGGCTGGTAGGCCAAAATTAAATCCAACACACCCTTGATATTCGCTCTCTGTCTCTCTGTCTCTCTGTCTCTCTCTCTCTCTCTGTTTCTCTGTCTCTCTGTCTTGTGTCCTGATTTAGTGAACACAGGCCCTTCACACTGAGCAACATTCCCACCCTTTTTAACTTTTAACCCTTTTTAAACTTTTATTTTGTTGTTAAATTGCCAAATTACCCAGACTGGGCACTAACTTGATCTCCTCCTGTCTCAGCCTCCCACGGCGCTGTGTCACAGGTGTGTGCCACCCTACTCAGCTTTGGTTCATTTCTTAAGTACAAAATGTCCCACGGTCTTTTTTTGCTTGTTTGTTCATGACAGGGTCTCACTAGGTAGTTCAGGCTGGCCTCAGACTTGAGGCATTCCTCCTGAGTGCTGGGGTTACAGGTGTGCACCACCATGCTTGGCCTCAGATTCTTTTTAAAAGAATCTCATAAATTCTAGAGAGGCTACCGCTAAAGGGGGCGGGGCGGGGCTAGCACAGGGCAGCCCCTGGGAGAATGTGGCAGTCGGGGCCGTGTTCTGAGTCGTACCCCTCTGCCTCCTTCGTGAAGGAAGTCCTTAGAGACACCAGCTCCCAGCAGTCTCTGCAGTCAGACAGCTCCGAATATGTCGACTTGGCCCAAGTGCATCCCGACAAACAGCAGATGGAACCCTTGGACGAGCAGGGAGAGAGACCTGAGCCCAGGCTGCAGGACAAACTGGGACAGGAAGAAGGAGACCTGGCTCAGAAGCAGGGAGGTGCCAGGGGAGAGAAACCCAGCAGGAAAATATCCTACTTCCTTGGCGATGAGGCCAAAGCAGGGGGCTCCAGGGAGTCGCTGGTGTCCAGGTCCACAGAGGACACTTTGTTCCAGAAGGACAAGGATGCCCAGGTGTACCCCTTGGTAAGTGCCCGGCGTTGAGGTGGCTTGGTGCCGGGAGGTTGGGGACATGAGGGGCGGGGGAGATACTCCTCCAGAAAGACGTGTTTCAGTTTTGGATGTTTTGGGTGTTTTTGTCTTTTTGAGACAGGGTCTCATTATACAGTTCAGGCTGGCCTTGAGCTCACTTTGTAGCCCAGGCTGGTCTTGAACTCACAACAATCCTCCTGCCTCTGCCTCTGAGTGCTGGGATAACAAGTGTGCACCACCACGGCTGGCTGCTGCTGTGTCTCTTAAAGTTTGGTTCTGACTGACCAGCCGTGTGTGATGGATAGGGACTGCGAACAGTCTGTGCTGGACAGGGTTGCTGCAGGCAGGAGCTTGCGACCCGGCTGGTCTCTCCTTCCCCGCCCCCCTCCCCTCTCCTCTGCAAACCCTGCTCCTCCCTGGTTCCTCTTGGCCCCACCTCTGCCTTCCCAGCCCCCACCTTTGAAAGTGACAGGTGTGGCCCAGTCGCCGGCTGTGCTGACAGCCGAGGTGCCATCTGGCATCCTCCGAGCGGGAAGGAGGGGTCCTCCTCCTCCTCCTCCATCTGCTGCTCTCGGTGTCGTTCTTGGGACTCATTCTCAGCCCCCCCCCCTGGCTTTCTTCTGTTCCCCTTTTCGGTGTGGAGAAATACTGTGGGAAGGCTTAGCAGTGATCAGTGCTGTACACCCGCAAAGTCCCATGGTTCGCAGCACAGAGAGTCCCTGAGGCAGGAGTTGAAGCCAGCCGAGGCCCACGGTGAGTGTAAGACCAGCCTGAACCACATGGCGAGACCCGGTCTCAGGAAGCCAGGTGAACCAATGAGAGGATGAATGAGTGGGCTGGCCCTGGTGCTGCACGCCTGTGACCCTAGCTAGCACCGAGGCTGAGGCAGGAGGGTCGGAATAGCAAGCCCACGGCCAGCCTGGACTACATGAGGCTGTATCACACAAACAAAAAATAAATACGAAAACAAAATAATCACGTACTTGTAAAGCAAGAGTCTCGGGAACAGCAGTATAGTAAAACCCAGCCTTGACAGTAGTGTCGTTTTCCGCGTCCTGGTGTGGTAGGCAGTAGTGACGCGGAGGTCCTAACCTTCCTGCGGGGACCAGGAGGTGGCACCGGAGGACCAGGGTGTGCCGACCCACTCTGAGCGCTGTGATCGCCACCACGTGAGGGCGCCCTGTCCCCGCGGGTGAGGCTGGCAGCAGGTGTGAGTCCCCTCAGACCTGCAGCTTCCCAGAACAGCCCCGAAAAAGGCAAAGAAGCCCCAGGTGGATAAGACGACCCTTTAGGGTCCGCACGTTTCAGAAGAACAATCCCGAATAGCTGGTGAACCTGTGTTTGAGACAGTCTTCTTTTATATCTCGGCAGGCCTCAAACTCGAGGTGACCATCCTGCTTCGGTGTCCCAGGTGCTGAGATGACAGGTGGGCACCACCCTGCCCAGCTGGTGCTAGTTAAGATTTTAATAGACAGTCCTTTTTGCTTAAAGAAGTTTTAGAGTTAGAGAACACTGAGCTGAAGGCGTGGAGAGCTCCCATGTTCCCTGGTACTCTCTCCCGTGGCTTCCCCTTCAGTGATGCATTTCTTAGCACTGACGGGCCAGTATTTTTATTTATTTATTTTTGGTACCAGGAATCGAACTTACAATCCTGCGCTTGACAAGCAGGTGCTTATGCCACTGAACTAAATCCCTGGTCGATGAACCAGTGTTGATTTAATACTATTATGTGTTTTTTGAGAGAGTCTCACTATGGAGCCCAGACTGGCCTCAAAGTTGTAGCAATCCTCCTGCCTCAGCCTCTCAAGCCCTGGCGTTCCACAATCAGCTTGATTTAAAGTATTATTAGTCAGTCTTAGTCTACCTTAGGGTCCCTCTGCGTCGTACATTCTGTGAGCTCTAAGGAACGTGTGACGAGGCGGGTATCACCACTTCCTGACAGCGCAATGGATTCAGAGCCCTAAAACACCCCCGAGGTTCCCCCACTGCGCTCCCCCACCCTGACTCCCGCTCCGTCTCCAGAGCTGGGCCTTTTCCTGAACATCACGCAGCTTGGGCTCCTCCATGTGTTGGCGTAGCTTGGCGGCTCATTTCTTCCTGTCCTGTGCCTCCATGGATTACCACAGCCTGCTTAGCTTATGCTGATAAAAGACTTTGAATGCAAAACCGTTGAAAGAGAGCCCAAGGCCAGCTGGACGGAACTGCGCATCGGCCCTCTCTCAAAAGAAGCAAAGTTACTGTGGAATTACAGCAGTCAGGGTTATCGGACCTGTGCCTTTTCATTCCGTAACATTTCTATTCTGTAGTTATTCTGGCAATGTGAGAATTTCAGTTTTTCTACGGGTATTTAGTCTTTACTGTTTTCTTTTCTTTTTTTTTGAAGTCCTGGGGACTGATCCCAAGGCCTGCCCACGGAGCCACATCCCTGGATCTTACTTTTCAAGTTTTTCAAACCTGAGTCAGAGTTCCCAGGTGGAACTTGAACCTCTCCTCCTCCTTCTCCTGCCTCAGCCTCCCAAAGTGCTGGGGTTACGGCTGCAAACCGCCACGGCCGTGGAATTTTGTCTCTTCATTGAGATCCTTCCAGGAGACGTGAGGGGATCTGGGTGAGGTGCTGCACGCCTGTGACCCCAGCTCCTAGAAAGCTGAGGCGGGAGGACGGACATGAGTTCAAGCCCCGCCTGGGCCAGGTAGTGACACCCTGTGTCAGGAAAACAACAAGAAAAGCACCATTTCCACAGGCTGAATAACTGCCCATTTGCAGTGCTGCTTCGAGTCTTTATTGTAACATCACCCGGCTTCAGGAGTAAAGGGAATTCACACATAGAGCACTCACTGCTTAGTTACCAGGGGGGCTTGGACAGGGGAATGGGAAGCTCTTTCTAGTTATTCTTAAAGATTTTCTTTGCCGCTTTAATGCCATAAAATTCACCTTGAAACTTTTAAAGTTTTTGAGCCAAGCATAGCAGCACACATCTGTAACCCCAGAGCTTGGGAGGCTGAGGCAGGAGGATTGCTGTAAGTGCAAGGCCAGTGTGGGCTACATAGTGAGTTCGAGGCCAGCTTGAACTGCATGCCGGGACCCTGTCTCAAAAAAAAAAAAAAAAAAATCCACAGTATGGCCATGTCACGTTGACCGATCCACTTAGCAGGGGACACCTGGGTGGCCGCCATCTTCTTTTCCCCTTGCAGTACTGGGATTGAACCCAGTGGCTTAGCAAGTGCTCTTCTGCTGAGCCACCCTAGCCCTGTGTGTGTGTGTGCGCCCGTGTGTGTGTGTTTCCAGGGACAGAACCCAGAGCCGTCAGGCTCATCCACAGCCCCAGCTCAGCCCTTTGAAAATATTTTTTTGTTTTGGGACAAGTCCTCACTGTATTTCCCAGGCTGGGAAACACCTTGTGATCTTCCTGCCTCAGCCTCCTCAAAAGCTGCAACCTCCTTGACATGCACAGGACTCCAGGTCCCTTGTAACCCGAGCACGCAGGTGACCGGCTCTGGTATGTTCCTGGGCGGAGGATTCATCACCACTGTCGGACTCCAGACCATTTCACCTCCCCGAAAAGACACGCCCCATAGCAGCTGCGCCCCATTCCATGCCCTGCTGGGTCCCTGCCTGGTCACTGATTGCACAAGTGCTCGGCCTTTTGTAAGGTGTCACCGTTTCAGGGTCCCTCCCAGTGCGCGCGCGGCCCCCCCCCCCGCCGCTTTCCTCCCCCACCTTCTCTGTCTCCCTCCTTTCTCTGAGATGCAGTGCGTGGCCGCTAGCGACCCTCCAGCCTCGGCCTCCAAGTAGGCGGGGCCGGACGTGCGCACCTCCTGTCCACCAGGAGGCGCTGTCTCCGAGTGTTTAAGGGTGGCGTCCTCCTGGCCCGGGCTCAGCACCCCAGCGCTCCCACCCTGTCTTCCAGGCCCTCAGCTGGTCGTTCGGGTGGAACAGCTCGCTCCCCGTCTTCTACATCCGGGAGCGGGGCCAGAGGGTCCTGCTGTACGCGTGCAGCAACACGGCGGTCATCTACAACGTGGCCAAGAACGCGCAGCACCATCTGCAGGTAGGCGGGGCCTCTCCGCGCTCCTCCCTCTTCCGGGCGCGGGGCAAATCCGTCCCGGGTGCTGCACCCCCAAGCTGGGTCTCAGCACCTGCAGCCGGGCACAGTAGGCTGTGCTGGTTTTGTTACAAGACTTCAAAGCGGCTGGATGTGGGGTGCACACTGGTAATCCTAGCACTCGGGAGACTGAGGCAGGAGGGTCTCCAAGAGTTCAGTGCCACCTTGGGGTTTGCACTTCTGACGTCCAGAAAGGTGACAGGCCCGTCAGTGGCACAGCTCAGCCGAGAGCCTTCTGCTGTAGGGGTCCCAGTGGGACCCCAGGGAACCGAGTCCCTGACCTCCAGGACAAGGCTTATTCGCCAGCGTCTCTGCAGTGCCGGGGGTGGAACCCAGGGCCTTCACACCAAGCCAGGTCCCAGCCCTTTTACTAATTTATTTTGAGAAACAGAATTGCTAACTTGTCCGGGCTAGACTCGTATTTGGGGTCCTCCTGCCTCAGCCTCCCAGAGTGCCGCTGACTCTCCTCCGTCTGCGCAGGGCCACCTTAACGTCATCTCCTGCCTCTGCGTCAGTGAAGACCGGCGGTGGATCGCCACGGCAGACAAGGGGCCCGGCTGCCTGATCATCATATGGGACTCCTTCACGGGGTAGGCCGGGGCTGCGGCGCCCTCCTGGTCACCACGGAGTCCCTGGGATGAGTCTGGCGGGGGCCTTGCAAGGCTGACTCCCAGCAGCCCAGCTCACACGAGTGTGAAGCATAAAGTAGGTCTGGCGGCTGCCCAGGCTGCCTCTTCTGGGAAGTGTGAATGGTGGCCACCAAGTGTCCCAGCCCCAGCTCCAAATGTCCTGCTGCTGGCTCCGTCCCTTTGCCCTGCTTGGTTTTAGTTAATGACAGACTTTCCAAAGCTGCTGCTTCTCTGCAGCCCGGCGCTCCTAACAGTGCCCTTCTGCTCACAGCTGTGGTTGCCTGCTCTCTCATTTGTTTGAGACAGGGTCTCGAGATATATAGTCCAGGCTGGCCTTGAACCGGCAGAGATCCTCCTGCCTCTGCCTCCTGAGTGCTGGGATTACAGGCAGGCCTCGCCATGCCTGCCTCTTTCTCTTTTTCAGGATTGCAGACTTATTCAGAATGGTTTTATGGTTAGAAACAGATTGAGAAGATAGCTGGGCAGGTCCCCTTGTGCCTGACCCTTTACAAAGTACTTGCCTCTGTGTGTGCCTCTTGTTTCAGTGAGGGGACCTGGCAAGGCATTTAACAACTCCCGCCCAGAGCCGATTCCTGGTTCCCAGTTCCCTTAACTCCAGATCCTTCCCTGTTCCAGGACCCTGTAGGGCCCCAGAGGCTCCGCACCTGTCTCCTGAGGCTCTCCTGGGCTTCCACGCTGTGACTGTTTGGGCAGTACGGCTCAGGGTTTATGGGGGCCCCTCTGTGGCACCCTGTGATGTTCTCCTGGGATCAGACCCTGTGGCCTTGGCCCCATGCCCACCCCCATGCCCAAGGGCAGCCTTCTCTTTGGGGCCATGCACACACCTCTCAGTCAGAGGCAGAGGCCACCTGGGTGCCGAGGAGGCCAGCCAACCCCACGCTTCCTCTCATTTCGGGAGTTTCCTATCCGGCACGGCACGAGCCACACTTGGAGTAGCTGCGCTGTCCCTAGTCTGCTTCCTTAGGTTTGTTTGTTGAGACAGGGTCTCGCTGTGTAGTTCAGGCTGGCCTTAAACTCACTGTATAGCCCTGGCTGGCCTCCAACCCGCAGCGATCCTCCTGCCTCAGCCTCCCAGGCTGTGGGGTGACCAGTGGGTGCCACCGAGCCTGGTTTGAGTCTGTGTGTGCAGCTTGGTCCCCTGTGTCCCTCCTGCTGCTAACACAGTGGATGGGGAGCCAAGGTGGTCATTCTTCTGCTTCCTCCTGACCGTGGACTTGGTGTTCCCGGCCTGCTCTCACATGTGCCAGGAGAGACTGTTTCCACCGGGGACAGCACAGCTGCTCCTATCGTGCCAGATAGGAAAGTCCGGAGATGAGAGGAAGCTCGGAAGCTTTTGAGGCATCCGAACTTCCTACAGTGTTTTGTACAAACGAAATCAGTGATGAGGAGTTGGAGGAGTCCTTCACCGAAGCTAGCGTGGGAAACGCTAGGCTGGCGGGGATGCGGGCCTGTAAGCCAGCACTTGGAAGGCTGAGGCAGGAGCACCGCCTTGAGTCTGAGGCCAGTTAGGGCTACACAGTGAGTTCAAGGCCAGCCTCCCCACATAGGGAGACTCTGTCTCAAAAGAATGAAAATTAAAAGAGCCAACCTGAGTATGCAGGTGAGCGGGTGGTGCCGCCTTGGACGGGACCAGGGTTTGGCTTTCTGCGGCTGGTCTGGAGGAAGAGTGGAAGGGACCCAGGGGCTCCAAACGGCCCAGAAGAACAGCGTGTGTGTTGGGGGGAGCTTGCACAGGCTCTGGGGCCCGGCTTCCACCCCAGGACTGTCCCCCGCTGCTGGTGGCAAGCAGCTCTTGGAGTATTTTGGCTTGTGGCTGTGACCCCCTCTTTTTTTAATATCAGGAATTGAACCCCAGGACACTGTACCACTGACCCACAGCCCACCCCACCCCACCCTATCATTCACATACTTACTTTTTTAATCTTGTAACTGAGTCTCACTAAATTTCCAGGTTTGAGGCACTCCACAAGCCTCCTGCCTCAGCCTCCCCTGAGTGCTGGGATCACAGGCATGTGCCACCATACCCAGCTAACGTGCCTCCAATGTTAGCTCTATTTTCTCACGGCAGGGGACTCCATTTCTCTGTGTCTCCCCTTATTTAAGACACCAGCCATTGGATTGAGGGCCTTCCTAATCAGGGGACCTCATTTTAACTAACATCTGCAAAGGTGCAAAGGTCCCCCCACCTTTTCTTTGTGCTGCTGGAATCGAACCCAGGGCCTTGGCACTGAGCCCCACTCCCCACCCCCGGCCTGCTTTTCATTGTGTAAATTTTGAGACAGGGTCTCACTAAGTTGCCCGGGCTTGGCTGCTCCAGCCTCAGAAAGTCTGGGATAACGCGTAAGGCTGGCCAGCACCCTACTTCCAAAGAAGGCTGCATGCCGAGGCTCTGGGGAGACGTGGATTTGGGGGGCATTTCAGGGGATGGGTCCGCACTGGGGTCCCCGGCTGGCAGCGACAGCTGCTCGCCGCTGGGTGCTTCCCTTTCTTCCCTCCTGTGTCCAGGGAGAGTGCAGCTCTGGCACTTGGCACTGGGAAGGCCCTGCGGGGTGGGCACGGCGGAGGCCGTGGGGTGTCCTGGAGCCGGGGACCTGACATCTGCTTCCTTAGCCCCTGGCGACCTCACAGCACCTGTCGCAGGTCCCCATCCTCTGGTATCTCCTCCTCTTCCTGAGGGCGTGGCAGGGGGACATTCCGCCTGGGTGTCCCTGAAGTGTCTCCCAGACCCCCCAGTGCCCGTCCCTGCCGCCTCCCTGCCCTCCTGCACTGGGGCCATTGCAGCAGAAACTGGCCCCCTCCCACAGGCCCAGCCTGGCACGGGGTCTCCTCTCACCGCGCTACAATACAGGCCTTTTAAAACCCCCTGCATAATCAGACGTGGTGGTGCACACCTGCTGTCCTGGCACTCAGGAGGCTGAGGCAGGAGGTTGCTGGGGGTTCGAAGCCTGGGTTACATAATGAGATCCCCATCCAGAGAAAGCAAGACAAACCCACCACTCTTGCCATTTCTAAACGTATAATTCAGGGGTGTTAACGACACCCACAATCTGCAGCCATCACCTTTCCCTATTTCCCCGCCACTTTTGTTGCTCTGAGGGGAAGCTCTCATCCTGGTGACTCCCCCTCTGCCGCCCACCCCTGTAGACACCACGTCTACGCAGGACCCAGCCTGGGGATGGAGCCCTGCAGCCGGCGCTCTGTGGATGGATCTGCAGTTCTCACAGAGCACTGTGCTGTCAGGCCTCGTCCACAGGGAAGCTCGTGTGGGTGCCGCACTGAGTCCTGTCTCATCTTATGGATCAGACATGTTTTTCCTTTTTTTTTTTTTTTGTCTTTTTCGTTTTTATCGGTACCAGGGATCGAACTCACAACTGCACACTTGCAAGGCAGGCGCTTATGCCACTGAGCTAAATCCCCAACCCCAAGATCAGACATGTTTTGTCCACTCATCTGCTTACATTTTTGTTTGTTTGTTTTTCAGGCAGGACCTAGCTATGTAGTTCAGGCTGGCCTTGAACTCACTGTGTAGGCCAGGCTGCTATCAAGGTCACAGAGATCTTCCTGCCTCAGCCTCCTGAGTGCTGGGATTACATTGCACCTACAGTCCTCTTTTAATTCCAAAGCAAAGCATACCCATGATTAACTGAAATGCATTATGCATGAATTTTACCATGACTTTGGGGACAGAAGAGATTTAGAGACTGTTTTGGTTTTGGAATTAATATTCACGTTATTAACATGATTCATGTTGTTAACATGAGAAACTAAGGTCTATGGTTCTTCCTTATGCTTTTAATTCAATTTAAAGATCTTACTCTGCCTGCAAATGCAGCATATTTTTGCAGTCACCTGTGAGGAGGCTTTGATTAATGTTTGGTCTCACACACTTGGTCCTTAATTCTTTTTAAACATCTTCAGTGGCATTTAGAGATGTAATGTTTTCAGCCTTATGTTAAGTGTTTTAGTGCTCTAATTAAGAAACAAATCCTTCACCAGTATTTAAGTAATTCTTGTAAATCTAATACATTAGACATAAATATGGTAAATCTTAAGTTCTCCTCAGTGCTCTAGTATTGTTTATAAACCTCATGCGATTTCAATTTAAAATTGCAAGTCTAAATCAACAGCCTATTTTAAATTAGAATCACAAATCGTGGCTGCCGAGACTCCAGTATGTCAGACTCTCTTCAGTGTTAGGCGCTGCTTCAAAATGAATTCATTTTCTCTTCATAACTGTGTCAGCACAGATCTGATTGACTTCATGTTTTACGTATCTTCAGGGATAGGGTTCATTTTCCCAGTAAGAACCCCAACTGCATCTTCTGACAATTTGAGGGTTGTCCTCCAAGGGCATTTTTTGTTTTTGTTTTTTGAGACAGGATCTCGCTATGTAATTCAGGCTGACCTTGAAGGCAAGGGTATCCTCCTGCCTCAGCCTCCCAGGTGCCAGGAACACAGGCCTGGCCGCCAGCCCAGCACTCTCATTGTGTTTTGAAGGCAGCCCAGTTGTTCACTATACGGCTCTGCCGTAATATTGTAGTAAACATAATTCTTTGTTTTTTGCTAGGAATGCAGCCCCCCTGCTCCATGTATTTTTGCCCATCTCTGTGTGACATTGGTGCTTTGCTCCGGGCAAAGCTTAGGGGTGCCACACTGTGCCCATGCCAAGGCCATGCTCCGGCCATCTCATTTTCCGGCCCCATCACCTCTTCCGTGTCTGCCTCTTCCCTGTGGGACACAGGGCCAGGCAGACAGCACGCAGGGAGCAGGCGGGCGGACACCAGCAGCCTCCCTCTGTGACTGCCAGTGCGGTCACAGGAAATCGGGGGCCGGGACCTTCACGATGCCCGCAGCTCTCATTGACCCACAGTAAGCCCCGCTCCCCTCCCTGATGGCGGGGACCCCACTGAGCCAGCACCCCCTGCCTTGCAGCATCCCCGTGCACACCATATTTGACAGCTGCCCACAAGGCAACGGCATCAGGGCCATCGCCATCAGCCGCGACGCCAAGTACCTGGCCACCATCTCCGACACTGACGTCCAGGTACAGGGCCGGGCTTGTCCCAGGAAACTGGGCAGCCGGCCGGGTGTCACTGCGGGCACCTCTGCTCAGGGACCCCTGTGGGTGGCTTGGCTCTCGGGCCGGGCGCAGGGTCCCCCGGGAGGAGGCGGCCCTCCAGGCTCCTCAGGGCCTGGCCCTGCTGTCTCCGCAGAAATTCTGCATCTGGAGGTGGACCCTGGCAGTGGAGACCCCCGCCTGCACCCTTGAGCTCCCCAAAGAGTACGGTTTCCAGGTGAGCCCGGTCACCCCAGAACTGTGCGTCAAGGAACCCCGGAGCCAGGCCTACCCCACCTGTCGCCCCAGCGTTCTGAAGACTCTGTCCTCCCCGGTCTTCCTTTCATCTCTGCTAATCACAGCCGATGAGTTTTGAGCGCTTTGGATGCACCAGATCCTGCTAATTCTTTACCTACCTAATTTCACACAATGCACGTAGACATTCGGTGAGGAGGAGAGGCTAACACCTGTGGGCTGCTTCCATGCACGGTTAAGTAACCTGGCTGGAGCCGCCCAGCCGGCGGCCATTCTTATTCTAGACACATGCTCTTAACTGCTTCTAATCCTGTCCCAAACTTGCAAAGTGTGTAACGAAGTTGTTATTACTGGCGGTGGTGGTACTCACCGCAATCCCAGCTCTCAGGAAGGAGGCTGAGGCAGGAGGGTCAACGTGAGTCTGAGGCCAGCCTGAACTGCGTAGTCAGACCTTGTCTCAAAAAGAATAAAAAGGTGCATTATTCTTGGTTTCCATGGAGTGACGGGACAGGGCCTTCTGGACTTTGCTAGGGGCTGCACTGAGTGCATGGACAGTGCCGGTGAGCGTTGTCACCTTAATTGTAGGGTTCCCCAACCTCAGGCACCTGAAGCCTTGCTGTTGATCTCTGGCAGTGTTTTGTAATTTCCAGTGTCTACATCTTTCGCCCCCTGCGTTGTTTATTCCTGTGTGTTTATTCTTTTTAATGCTTTGATAAGGGGAATTGTTTTCTTAAATCCTTTTTCTGATTGTTCTCTGCTGGCGTGTAGCAGCCCAGCTGGGTTCGTGGGTTGGTTTTGTGTCCCGCAACTTTGATGAATGCATTGTTTAAATTTATTCATTTTTTTTTGGTCTTTTTCCTTTTTTATCGGTACCAGGGATGGAACTCACCACCGCACACTTGCAAGGCAGGCGCTTATGCCACTGAGCTAAACCCCTAGGCCCCTCATTGTTTAAATTTAAATTGATTACAATGAAATAAAATGACACATTTGGTTTCTTAGTTTTACTAAGCACAATTTTTTTTTTTTCAGTACAGAGGATTAAAGCCAGGCCCTTCGCCCTGAGCAGGGTCCCCAAACCCTCTTATTATTTTTATTTTGAAACAGGGTTGCATTAGGCTGGTAGGCTGGGCTCGATTCTCATTCTTTTTTTTTTTTTTTTTTTTTTGTCTTTTTCCTTTTTATCCGTACCAGTTATTGAACTCACGACTGCCTGCTTGCAAGGCAGGCGCTTATGCCGCTGAGCTAAACCTCCAGCCCCTGATTCTGCATTCTTCCTGCCGTGTTCTCCCCGGCGCCTCCTTTCTCTCACTTCTCAGCCTCCACCTCGCGTTCTGCAAACTTTCTGCTAGGTCCGGAGGAGCTGACTCTCCACTCCTGGTCTCTGCCCCGCCAGGCCCCACCCACCCGGTGGCCCCGCCCCCTGCGGCCCCGCAGCCTGGGCACCTTGCTGACCTCCGTCTCAGCCCTGCAGCCTTACCCCTCCCGTGTGTTGTCTTTCTTTCTTTAATTTTTTTTTTTTTTTTTTTGTCTTTTTTGAGACGGGGTCTCGCTATGCAGTTCAGGCTGGCCTTGAGCTCACTTTGTAGCCGAGGCTGGTCTCGAACTCGCAACAATCCTCCCACCTCAGCCTCCCGAGTGCTGGGATTACAGGTGTGAGCCACCACACCTGGCTTTCTTTCTATAATTCTATGCCTCCACCTACATCCCCAGTCCTTTTTCATATTCGGGTTTGGAGAGCCTGTTTGGAGGTCCTAGCCAGGCAGCGAAGTCGCCCGTGTGACCCAGGCCAGGAGGTGGCATCCTCTGCGGGGGAAGGTCCCTTTCCCTGGAGGGGTATTTGGGGAACAGTGAGGGAGGAGGAGGACACCCCCTGCCGGTGAGATCATCCACATCGGCCTGGACGGTAGGCGGGGTGATATATCACAGCCAAGCCACCTTGACAGCCAATGTGTTTTGTAAATTTTGAGATAGGGTTTTTGGCAAATCACTAAATTATCTAAATTGGACTCAAATTTGCAATCCTCCTGCCTCAGCCTTCCTGAGTGCTGGGATTACAGGTGTGCAGCACCACACCTGACCAGAATGGCATTTTTTGAGATAAGTGAAACATTACATCTCTTATTTAAAATCCTTCAGTGACTTCTTTTTTTAAAATCCATTTTACTTAAAGATAAAAAGAACAATAAAAAACTACAACAAAATTTCAAAACACATCAATCAGGGGGCCACAATGGTACATACATTGCGCACTGGCATCCCCAAATCAGTCACCCAGGGCACAAGATGTCTGCATTCAGCTGTCCAAAGAATACCAGCCCAAATATTTCTCTTCAGTGAACTCAGACAAATCAGTAGTATGACTATGTTAACTATTTTATATGTACATATTCTACACATACACATGTTTTTTTCTTTTTTCTTTTTTTTTTTTTGAGACAGAGTCTCTATGCAGTTCAGGCTGGCCTTGAGCTCACTTTGTAGCCCAGGCTGGTCTCGAACTCGCAATAATCCTCATGCCTCAGCCTCCCGAGTGCTGGGATTACAGGCATGAGCCACCATGCCCGGCAACACATGTTTTTTTCTTACAGCTTCTCACAATAATGAAACAACATGATGTTTACACGTGTGTGTCTTATTTATTTCATGAGTATGGTCTCAAGTTGCATCTATTTACCTATAAAAGTCTCCAATTTATCCTTCTTTATGGCTGAGTATCCTTCTTTATGACTCCATTGTGTAAAAGTATCACATCTTTTTTATCCATTCCTCAGTCGATGGGCATCTAGGTTGTTTCCAAGATCTGGCTATTACAAACTGTGCTGCTATAAACATGGGTGCACATATATCACTGTGATTTGATGATTTTAATTCTTCTGGGAAGATACCCAGAAGGGGAATATAGCTGGGTCAAATGGGATCTCCAATCCTAGTTTTTGAGGAATCTCCACACTCATTTGCACAGTGGCTGCACCAGGCTGCACTCCCACCAACAGTGCAGAAGGGCTCCTTTCCCCCACAGCCCCTCCAGTATTTGTTACTGCTTGATTTTTTGATGGTTGCCATTCTTTCTTGGGTGAGGTGGAATCTCAGTGTGGTTTTAATTTGCATCTTTCAAATGACCAGTGCTGTTGAACATTTTTTCACGTATTTATTTGCTGTTTGTGTGTCTTCATCTGAGAAGTATATATTCATCTCAGATTATTCATTTCAGATTGGGTCTTTAAATCTGGGGGGATTGATTTTTTTTTTTAGTTCTTTATATATTCTCGATAGTAATCCTTTGTCTGAGGAACAGCTGGCAAACATTTTCTCCCACATTGTGGGTTGTCTCTTCACTCTGTTGGTGGTTTCTCTTGCTGTGCAAAAGCTATTCAGTAGGGTGAGATCCCAGTGGTTGATTTTTTGTGAGTTCCTGTGCAATCCAGGTTTTGTTCATAAAGTCTTTACCTCCATCTATGTCTTCAAGAGCTCTACTCTATCTTCCAGCAGATTGAATGTTTCTGTTTTAATATTATCTTTATTCCATTCTGAATTTAGCTTCATACATGGTGAAAGATATGGGTCCAGTTTCATGTTTGGTATGTGTACAGCCAGTTTTTCCACTGCCATTTATTTAAAAATATTTTTTTTGGTACCAGGTATCAAACTCACAACCTCATGCTTGCCAGGTAGGTGCTTATGCCACTGAGCTAAATCCCTGCCCCTCCAGCACCATTTATTAAAGAGACTATCTTTCTTCCAATGGATGTGTTTGGCACTATTTCAAAGATAAGGTAGCTGAGTGTGTCTGCAGTTGCTTCTGTATCTTCTGATCCATTTCATTGATTTTTGGGCCTTTTTTTTTTGCTAGTACCACACTTTTTATCACAGTAGCTTTATAGCATAATTTCATGTCAGGAATTGTGATGCCCTGTTTTGCCTTTGTAGTACAGGTCTGCCTTTGCTCTTCTGGTTCCAAATGAATATTAAGGATTGTTTTCTCTAATTCTGTAAGATGTGTTAATGGAATTTTGATTGGGATTGCACTGAATCTGTATCACAGTTTTGGAAGTATAGCCATTTTCACTATATTGGTTTTTCCTACACAAGAACACAGGATCTCTTTCCATTTTCTAATATCCTCTTCAATCTCCTTTTGCAGAGTTTTCTAGAGAGGTCTTTTACATCCTTTGTTAGATTGATCGCTAGGTATTTCTTTCTTTTTTTTTTTTTTTTGGATGCTATTGTAAAATATATTGTTTCTTTGATTTCTTTCTCAGTGAGTTTGTTATTCGTGTACAAGAAGACTATTGATTTTTGAATGTTGACTTTGTTTCCAGGGATGTTACTGAATTTGCTTATTAAATCTGGTAGTCTTTTGGTGGAGTTTTTGGGGTCCTCTAGAGTATCATGTGATCTTCAAATAATGATAGTGTCCCTTCTTCCTTTCCTGTCTTGATTCCTTTTATTTCTTTCTCTTGTCTAATTGCTCCAGCTAAAGTTTCCAGGACTATGTTGATTAAGAGCAGAGACAGTGGACAGCCTGGTCTTGTTCCTGGTTTTAGAGAGAGAACTTTCCGTTTTTGTCCATCTAGTATGATGTTGCCTGTTGGTTTCTCATAGATGGCTTTTATCAGATTGAGATAAAGACCATCTATTCCAGTTTTCTGTAGGGCTTTTATGAATGAGTGCTGGACTTTGTCAAAAGCTTTGCATGCATCTGTTGAGATGATCACATGATTTTTGTCCTTGGCTCTGTTAATATAGTGGATTACATTCATGGATTTACGTATGTTGAGCCATCCCTGCATCCCTGAAATGAATCCCACTTGATCATGGTGTACAATCTTTTTGATGATTTGCTGCAGTCTGTTTTGCCAGTATCTTATTTAGGATTAGGGAGATTGACCTGTAATTCTCTTTCTTAGTTGGGTCCTTCTCTGGTTTTGGAATCAGAGTGATGCTTGCTCCCAGGAATGAATTTGGAAGTATTGCTTCCCT